CGGAGCGGAGCAGCCGATGCTGCGCGCACCTTTGGGGGACTGTGTGTTCGGGAGAGCAGCCCCGGGAGCGGGAAGCGGCCGGATTTGCCCCGCCGACCGCTCCTCGCAGGCCGCTTGCGCCGCCACCCGCCTCCGAGGAGCGGCGGGCCCCACGCAGAGGCTCCTCGGGGCTGCCGGGCGCCTCCAGGCCGCTTCTGGGAGCGGGCTTGTCCTGCCCAAGTGGGGCGGGGGAGCCTGCTTCGGGCGGAGGGGAGGGGAGACGGGATCCGATTTTCCCTGCCTCCTGTTGGCACAACCGGGGTGGGGTGGGGTGGGGTGGGGAGACGCGGATCACCACCAACGCGCGCGGAGCTGAAGTGGAAAGCCCCATTCAAGGAGGTTAATCTTGGCAGATGGAGAGGAGGGGGGGGGGCTGGATGTTAAGGAAACGCGCCGGCGGATGCCCTCCTGCCTTTCACAGCGCTGCCTGTCACTCCCCAAGGCTTGTTATCCTTACAAGGCATCAGTTTGTTTGGCTGATCTCAGCAAGGTTTTCTCCTCCAAGTAGAACTCTAATTGCTATAATTCGACTGTATCATTTGGATCGTTGCGCTACTGTTGTTTTCTCTCGCTCCCTCGCTTTCCCCGAGCCTTGCAATAAGGCGCTCCAGTGCCAAATTAGCAGGTTGCAGGAGGAAAGAGGGAGAAAGAGACCATCAAGGAAGGGAAGTTTGTTTTTATTTTTATTTTTTAAGCGGGGTGGGTGTGGGGTGGGGAAAAGAAATGGAGGGAGAGGCAGGGAGCGCGCAAGGCGCCGGCAGAGGGGCGCGGGGATCGCGCCTGCTCGCCGGAGACCCAGGCAGCCCCTTCGGCTTCCACCGCTGCGTGCCCGTCTCTGGCTCGGACGCTGGGGTGCTGAAGTTGCTGGTGGAGATGGGCGAATGCGGGGCAGGCAAAGCCGGGCTGCTTCCGCGGGGAAAGCGGCCGAGGGGCGGGGAGGCGTCCGTGAAGTGCCCGGGGACGAGACCCCTTTCCTTCCCGAGCGGGGATGTGTCGCAATCGCGAGGACAGTATCCGGCGCTCCGGAACACAGAAGTGACGAGAGAGCGCGAGATGCAGGGGAAGGAAGGAAAGGAGTGAGCCACTTCCAATAATAATAACAACAACAATAATAATGAAAAGCAGACCCTCCTTGAAATAGACGGGCCTTTCGCTTCTAAGAGCTGCACAGGCAGGTTCGCACCCCGTGCAAACGGCGTCGGATTTGTACCAGCAACCGCTACAACACGCCAAGGTTTCACCTCCTTCGGTTATTTTTTTTTTTTAATTCCTGTTCTCCTTAAAATAATCGAGCGTCTACTGACACATCTATTTCCACGTCATGCTCCCTGTCTTGGCTAGAACTGACCCCCGCCCCCCGCCCTGTTGACAAGGGAGCGGGAAGAAACAATGCCAGAAGCAGGGCTAGCCGAGGCTGCGTTTCAAGTGCAGTTATTGACTCAAGCCGGGGAGCGAGCGCAGATCGACCCGCGCAGCCCAAAGAATGAGTGGCTTGTATCGACCCACTCGAGCGACTTTCAGGGCCGGGCGGCCAAGTGGCTTTTCCTGAATAAAGCCACGCTGTAAAGTTGTTGCGACCGCACAAGTGGGGCTGCTGAACCCGCCGGACTGAGTAGTTGCTGCCCTAAGGAGCGTCTCACGATTTCTTGCTAGAAATGTGCTGGATTTAGACTCCTTTTAGAACAAAAACAAGCCAACCCCCCCCCCCTTAAAGGTGTTTTCCCGTCCTTAATAGAGGGGGGCTCAAAAGAGGGAGGGAGGGAGGAGAGAGGTAGACACGGGCCGATGAGACGGAGCATCTCGGGCGGCAAACGGGCGCCTGAGGGGGAGCTGGGGCGCCCTGCCGTCTGGGCACCCGGCTCGCACTTCGCCGGGCGTCCTCTCCTTTCCACCCTCGCCCCCAAGGTGGGAGGCTTTGCCGCAAGGGAAAGGGCGAACCAAACGCCGCGGGAAGGAGGGAACAGTGGGCCGGAGGCAACACGAGCCAAACCGCTTCTCTGTCCCCTTTGACCCAAGGGCGTTGGCCGGGCGGGGCACGGCGAAGACACAGGCTCCATTTCTAGGAGACTGCTTTCCACGCCCTTCCAATAGGTGGCAGGATAGCTCGACGGATTCTTGGTCGGGCCGCGAGCATTTAATTCCCTCAGCTGCCAGAGATCAGTTTCTCCTCGCCGGTTCACTTTATGCTTTCCCTGGTTCCACTTGGACGTGCCGTGCCCAGCCCAGCCCAGCCCAGCCCAGCCCGGTCTCGCTTACTTCGTTTTTCCTTCTGCCCCCCTCCCCGAGCACAGGCAGCCCCGGCTGAGAAGGGCAGAGGGGCCCCTCGCGGTGGCTGCTGCCTGGCGCTCAGCCCCAAGTGAGCAGGACCCTTTCTCAGCCGCCCAGCTCTAGCAGCGGGAAAGCCGGTCTCATCTCTGCGTGTGTTCGTTTTTGTTCGGGCCGGTCTCGCGCGTATGCATCTGCCTGTCCGGCTGGCCAGACCAAGGCCCAAAGGACCCCCTTAAAATGGAGTTCGCCCGCTCCCCACGCAGTGGCAGAAAGCGAGCGCCGCGTGGACTGCGCAGCCCGCTCTTTGCCAGCCCTCCGGCTTCGCCCGCGCGCGGGGCGGCCACGGCGGCGCATCCC